CTTAGCGAGCGAGGCCTCCCAGCCAAGAGCAGGGCCAGCCAGATGGCAGCTCGCCGCTCCGCTCCGCCTGCCCCCTCGATCGGCCTCGCCCACGGACCCACTGACTCCCGGGGCTCCTGACCCCTCCACACTCCCCGACGCTGCCAATGGCCCCAGCCACCCCAGGTGGAGGGAGGGCTCAGGACACAGGAGAGCCAGTAACTGCAGCACCCAGAGGCAGCAAGCACACAGCTGATTCCACATGCTCTTCACTCCCAGCCACTGCTGGGGTCCTGCTGGGATTGGGGCTGTGCCCAGGCCAGCGCCCACGGGAAAGGGTCTGGGCCAAGCATGTCCAGGCTCTGCTGTTACGGGCCCGAGGCACAGTGGCCAGGGAGCTCAGAGCAGCAGGACCCGCCGGCTGACTCAGCTCTCGGGCTGCGGGGCAGGCTGGCATCCGGGCGCTCCACTGGCATTGGACAGCCCCTCCCCCAAGCCAGCAGGGTACCGATTCCCCGTCCATCCCCCAGGGCTGGGGGCTTGCTAGGGCCGGTCTCCATTCCCTGCACTGCCTGAGAACGGGGACGGGGCTCACTTAGCCAGGGAACGGGACAGCGCGAGTCTCCCTGTCAGGGTCCCTCCGGGCAGGCTGGCTCCCCATAGTGAACCAGGTTCACGCCAAGCTGTAGGGTTTGCCCAGCTCACCCCACTCATGGGCACGCCAGCCCCCCACACCCTGCAGGGCTGCCAGTGCTTGCTCCGAGCAGGGCTGGCCAGCACGTGCGAGTCCGACTGCAGGGCTCCGCTGGTGCATGTGTCACTAGCCCTGGTGAATCGCACGGGTGGGAAGGTTTCACAGGGCTGAGTGCAGACCGGGCCCTCTCCAGCCCACACCACCTGCACGCGTTGGCCAGCGTGCCCACGGCCACGCACTCAACAGCTCTGCCCAGGGCGCTGGACCCAGGCTCACACCCCTCAGCACAAGGGCCAGCTCTTCAGCCAGGAGGCCGGTGTTTGCGACAGGCCTCTGCTCTAGGAGGGAGCAAGCCAAGGCGCCCAGCCCCCAGGTACTCGGAGCGGGCGGGTCAGCCCCCTGGCCCTGGCGGCTGCCAGCACTCAGCACTTAGTGGGATTTCAAGGTCTGCAGTCATTAGCCAAGCCCATGACCAAACCGTGTTCCGCGCAGTTACTGAAAATAGCCTCTGCCCCAGGAGGCTGCCGAGCGGAAAGCGTAAACAAGGGCCGCAGGCTGCCCGGTGCCGGGCCACGCAGAGACCCCGCCACGGTCCCCAGCACAGCAGGGGCAAGGAGAGCGGCTTACACACCCTGAGCCGAGCCCCCTCCTACTCCAGACCAAGCGCCTCCCGGCACACAGTACCCAGACTGCGCCTGCAACAAGGGCTGCAGGCTGCCCGGTGCCGGGCCACGCAGAGACCCCGCCACGGTCCCCAGCACAGCAGGGGCAAGGAGAGCGGCTTACACACCCTGAGCCGAGCCCCCTCCTACTCCAGACCAAGCGCCTCCCGGCACACAGTACCCAGACTGCGCCTGCCTCCCTGGGGCC